CTCCCCGCGGCGGGCACTGCGCGTGCGCGCCGCGCCGTTACCCCTGGAGCCTACTGAGGGCAGCGGCGCGGCCCGGGGGCGAGGCCCTGCCTGCAGCGCCGCGGGTCGGGTTTTGCCACGCTTAGGTCTTCCCTCCGGTGCTGCCGCCCTCCCTGGGCAAGTTTTTTGATTATTCCAGTTTTTTAACCTCAGCTTCACATTCCTCTGCTGAAACCTTGTGCAAATCAGCATCTTTCCAACATCTTCTCCTGCTCGCCAGCAGGCTGGCGGCGGGGATGCTCCTTGCAGTCACCTCGCTCTTCCCTCCCGGCAGGCCAAGCCGGAGGGAATGCCGCCCATGGGGACGGGCTCCTTGCTGCCGGCTCTTCCGTGGAGGAGCCCGTTAGTAACGTTCATCCAACCCTTTCCAACCCCGATTTCCCTCGGCTCCCAGCACGGTGCAGAGGGAACCCAGGCTGCGCGACCGCGCTTTTCCACACAGCCAGCATCCCCGCGGCAGCACTGGAATAAGCCCAAGTTACTAATGTTACCTGCCCCTGGCAAACTCCGCTTCCTTCGGAAGGCTCTTCGGAGGCTCTGCCAATCCTTCCCGTTTCCAAGCACCGGGTCAATCACGAGCCTTGTGTGCAGCTTGCGGAGCGCTCCGGGCTCGGGTGTCCTGGGAGAGGGGAGATCCACACGGCGCCGGCGGGAGCGGGCGCTGGGCATCATACAACCACATACATACATAGGCATAATTAAGGGTGAGATTTCTTCTCTTTTTTTTTCTTTTTTTAACAAAACATCAGAGAAAAGTGTTTTATTGTTACTAAAAAAAAAAAAAAAAAACGACCAACGCTCTAGTGTTTTAGGCCGCGGAGGCTCCAGCTCGGAGGCCCGGCGGGGAACACGGTAACAGGGAATGTGGCTCATGGACGTCTCCCGCTCCGGCCGCATCCAGGCGTCAGCCTCCCTTCCCCCCGGTGGTCACACAACATCCTTATGCACGTACAGCAACAGTTTACATGTAAAAGGAAGATTAGGAAAGCATTGAACGTAGTTGTAGCTTTTTTCCCCCTTGTTTTTCCTCATTTTTTTTTTTTTTTAAAGGAAGCGATGTAGCAGCTGGGAAGAGCGAGCCGGCGTCCCGTGAGCTCCGCAGGGACCTCGCTCCGTGGCCTCTTCCGCGCGGCGGGGCGCTCCCGGC